CCTTCCAAATGTTACTTTCCCATGTATCGGAGACATAGGGTTTGGAGAACAGTGAGTACTCGAAATACAGCATAATGTGGTCGCTTAATCCTAATGGGGTCGATCCTGCAGGTCAATCACAGATTCCTCCTCTAGGGTAAAGATAAGGTCAAGACAGTTCGACTGTTGTCCTTCCCTAGCCCATGTTCCAAACGTAAAGATCTGGCAGAGCAGTTTGTCGGTGGTCCATTGTAGTAGTTTGTGATTGAAGTTGTCTGGAAGACCCTGTGCAGTCCACGTCTGCCAATCAACACCAGGAGCATTAAAGTCCCCAACGATAAGGATGTCTTGTTTCTCACTGAAATTAAACCAGGTGTTCAATCGCCGATAATCCCCGCATGGGCGCCAGTCAACAAGAGACTTTTTACACACCATATGTAAAGCGGCGGCCCATGGACTAGTAGAAGGCCTAATTATGCCAAGCTCCATCATGTGACTGAGTTCAGCCTTAGCGATAGCTAACTTGTCGGCGGCTAAGCAACGAGGACGACTAAAAATGCGTGGTCCGGAAGTTGAAATATAGTGAACAACAGAATGCTTAATGGGTTGGTTAAATTGTGAGGGTCGTGCGATAGTAGAAAATTCAGAAAGTAACAGATGATAGGGAGAAGACGAAGGGATTGCTAAAAATGCGTGGACTAGGGGATGAAAGGGTAAGAGGAGAACATTTTCAGTACATAGATGTCTTAGGGTCAACTAGTTTATGGGATTTGGTGTCAACGAGGAGACCGAAAAAGGACAAAAAATCAGCGCCGAGAATGGCGGTATGAACGTCAGCGATAGTAAATATCCACCGAAATGAACGTCGTAGACCCAACTTTAGAGCGAGGGATCGTTGGCCAAACGTTTTAATGGGAGTATTATTAGCTCCTTGAAGGAAGATGAAGAGTTTGGTAACTTACAGTCAGTCGAAGTAGGTGGAACAAGAGATATTTCTGAGCCGGTGTCTACGAGGAAGTTACGAAAGGAACTCCTGTCGTAGATGTGGAGTGGGCGACTGGAGAAGGATGGGCCGACCACGTTCGTCACCCTTACTGGCCGGCGGCGAAGTTTTCCGATGCCGACTTCTTGTGCCTGCAAGGAGGTTGACAATGACGGACATTTTGACCATAATTGTGGTGATACCAACAGAGACCATCAGTTGAAGTTCAGTTGGGAGTGGGAGATCTTGGGCGACGAAAAGTCGAAGGACTACGAAGGTTGTAAACACGAGTGGCCCGGAGCAGGG